TTTGGCCAGCTCACTGTTCAAATTCTTCTGCAAAAACCAACATATAAAAAAATCAGGTTAATTGCATATAGAAAAATCCAGATTTCCAGCTTCTCTTAAAAAAATTTAAAGACCTCAAGATCTGCTGGCGCTGGGGGTGTGTGGGGTGGGCTTCCCTTTGAGGGGCCTGTATTTGGCTGCTTTTTGAGAGCCTTTTGCCACCCTGATCCCTAACATAATTTCGTAAATTTGTCATTTTGTAAATCTGCCCCTCCCACACTTTGAGCTGATAGCCAGAGTCTCTCATCCTAACTTAAGAGTGGCAAAGGATGTTATTTCCCGCTTATTGTAAATATTGGCATCTTTAAATAAAACAGTTACATCATTATTTGAAATGTAACCAGTGGAGTCTAAATACCGTGGAGATTTGATACCCGCCATTGTCTGTTTAAAAAACACCAGAATGAGCTCTTCTTTAGCTGTTGGAATTTCTACCTCCTTCTTAATTTTCTTTTTTTCCTTTGGATTCATATTCTATTCCCACAGAATTTTATCCTAGGGTATTATATTTGTCCTTGGAAAAATATGTACATACATTTAAGTTAAATTTCCTGTGGCTATAAGGGTGTAAATATTTTTTAAAGTTCTTGTATTTGGTTATCATTAGGATGATGGTTGTCCATATGAATAAAACAAAGGGATAAATGTTGATAAATATATTAGAAGGAGAATGTAACATTTACTTGGAAATGCATCTCAAAATGAAACGCATTGAGCTCTTTTGTCTTCTTTTCTATTGTTTTATGTGTCTATCTATGGATGGAGGTGACTTATTATTGGGATTAGAAGGTTCAGCGGTAAGTAACATGAATGTTTTAAATGTGAAACAAACTATAGTCTGTCCTTATTTTTCCTTTGGATTTCTATTCTTGCTTTTGTGCTTTTATAGATGTGGGGGCAAAGAGACCACGTATAACTAAATGAGTAGGTGGGACTAGGAGTTATGTTGTAGCAGTCTCTCATTTCTCTGGACTTTTTCTGAGTTATATGCTGGTTTATTTATTCTGTCCGCATCACAGTTGTTGCCATTAGCTTTCTCCTTTTCAGAAGGGGGTTCTTTTATTGTTTGAGATGGGATCTCGCTCTGTCCCCAGGCTAGAGTGCAATGGTGTCATCATAGCTCACTGCAGCCTCCAACTCCTGGGCTCAAGTGATCCTCCTGCCTCAGCCTCCCCAGTAGCTGGGACTACAGGCACGCGCCACCATGCCTGGATAATTTTTAAACTTTTTGTAGAGACGGGGTCTCGCTATGTTGCCCGGGCTGGTTTTGAGTTCCTGGCCTCAAGTGATCCTCCCACCTTGGCCACCCAAAGTGCTGGGGTTACAGGCGTGAGCCACTGCGCCCAGCTCAGCAGGTGGCTCTTGAGTGGAGGGAGCATGTCCCACTGGGAGGGGTACTGGAGTCTGCATGGGGGTGTTGTGCGAGGCTCTCAGACCACGGATGGGTCTTCTTGAGGCTCTCTGGTGTGAGGGAGTGGGACTGGTCCCCGGTTACATCCAGGAGGACAAAAGATGAGGGTCACTGCTGGGCTGTAGCTCCCTAAGGACAGGAACCACGTCCCACCATAGTTCTGTTGGGATCCCACCTCCTTCCACTCCTGGCACCTAACTGATTTTCACCTAGTGCTCAGTAATGTTTTAAATGTAAAACAAAATATAGTCTGTCCTCATTTTTCATGAATTCTGTATTTGCAAAGTCACCTACTCACTGAAACTTACCTGCAACCCCACCATGGTACTGGAGGTGCTTGGTGGTCATTTGCAGATTTGGGCAGAGGTGAGTCACTCAGCATGCATGCTTCCAGGTGAGGCCACTCGAGGTGGGGCTCCGCCTTCTAGTTTCAGCTCTTACTCTATAAATGGGTCCTTTTTGCAGTCTGGTTAAGTGCCACATTTTTGTGCTTTTGTTGTTGTTGTTGTTAGTAATTTCCCTGTTTAAAGTGGCCCCAAGAGGAATGCTCGTGTGCTGTGTAGTGTTTCTAAGTATGAGAAGGCTGTGACGGGCCCAACACAGGAAAACTGCATGTCACAGAAGCTTTGTTCAGATGCTGAGAGATGGTGCCGGTGGCCTTGAGTTCAATGCTAATAAATCAACAATATATATTTAATAAGGAGTCTTTAAACAGAGACACACCTAAAGCAAGCGTACGCATTGATCAGTTGATTTGCTACGTGACCAGAGGCTTGTAGGAACCTAGTCCTGCATTTCCCTTAGGAGCGTTGGTTCAATACTCACTCATTAGTATTCTCAGTGACTTTATAAAACATATAATAACTCATGCAGATAATGAGACTCGACCATATGTCATTTGCACATGGATATTATGACTTTGGGAATTTAAGAAGTAACTTCAGGGTCATGCCTAGGTAGGCAGGTTTTTCACTTGGAATTTGAAGGGAGTGAGAAGTAGTTTGGTTTATTTTATTTTATTTATTTTTTTTTTGTTTTTTGTTTTTTGAGACAGAGTCTCACTTTGTTGCCTAGGCTAGAGTGAGTGCCATGGCGTCAGCCTAGCTCACAGCAACCTCAAACTCCTGGGCTCGAGTGATCCTTCTGCCTCAGCCTCCCGAGTAGCTGGGACTACAGGCATGCGCCACCATGCCCGGCTAATTTTTTTTATATATATATCAGTTGGCCAATTAATTTCTTTCTATTTATAGTAGAGACGGGGTCTCGCTCTTGCTCAGGCTGGTTTTGAACTCCTGACCTTGAGCAATCTGCCCGCCTCGGCCTCCCAAGAGCTAGGATTACAGGCGTGAGCCACAGCGCCCGGCCTTAGTTTGGTTTATTTTTGCAAGACAGTCTTTGGAAGCAGCTCCCTCGCAGAGTAGCGTCCATTAGAAAAGTCCTTCGAGTACATCCAAAAGAGTAATGATCTCATGATGGCAAATGCCTTTGCTGTTTAAACTTCACTGTGAACTTAAACTTCGTGCTGCGTACCTACAGCCTGAGCAGTCAGACGGAGGGCTGAGCAAGGAGAATAGCATGTGAGTTACTCTTCGATTGTTTGACTAATGCTCGTGTCTCTGGAAGATAAAAGACTTCAGGAGAGAAGCGTGCAGTTTGGAAGCTGCACTGACCTCCTAATTTACATTCAGAGCCATCATTTGTTCTCTGTTGTCACCTCGCTTCAACTTTTTTTTTTTTTTCTTTTAATAGCTGCTGGTCCCACAGCCATTAATCCCTACTAAATAGCACGTAAAACGTAATGGTCGTGGTTGGGAGAGATTTATATTCTGACGGGCAGAGTCTATTTTGGGATGTGACTTTATCCCTGTGGAATTCCCACTTGAGGGCTTTGTGTTTTCTTGGACGGGGACTTGCACCCTTTACCCAGAGTTACACGCAGGTCTTCAGGAAGTGAGTGCTTCTTGTTAAACCCCTGTCCTCCTTCTGGGACAAATCTCCGGTCTAGGAGTACCATTCCTGTCTTCACTTCTTTCCTTCACAGTTTGCCTGGGGGAATCAGGGAAGGCTTCCCAGAGGAGGTGTGGTGGGCCTGCGGTTTGAGGCATGGGTGGGAGTTTACCCAGCTGAGCAGGGGACACGGGGCTTCCAGGCAGGTGGACCAGCTTGGTCTTAAGACATAGAGGGTGAGTTAGCAGGGGGTCTGTTTTGGGGTTCAGGCAAGAATAGGGGAGCAGAGAGAGAGGAAGCTGGAACTGGGCCGTGGTTGTCAGGGACTTTATGCCACGCTTAGTAGTTTGGTTTTTATCCTGTCAGTGGGGAATTAAAAGACGAACACGATCAGTCTTTTGTGTGTTTGAAAGACCACTTGGGAACTGTGGTTGGAAAATACCAGACTGGTCTCGGGGAGACGGATTAAATTGCTCTTGGAGTCATGGTAGGGGAGAGGTGAGTGCCCAAAATGGGCAATGGGGGCGGAGGGGTGGGACAGCAGAAGGGTCACTGAGGCAGTCAGGTCTGCTGCTTTGGGGTCATTTTGGATTTGAGAGCATCAGTTGGAGAGAGAGGGGCTGAGAGGTCTCGTGCTTGGGCGATTGGGTAAAATATGGTGCCTTCTGCTGAGAATGAACACACAGCAGCAGGTGCATGTGGGCAGAGGTGATGTGTTCTGAATGCATAGAATCGCACGCACCGAGAGACCTCAGCGTGGAGCTACCAAGCACAAGCACTCAGGTGAATAAATACATCATTCCGCCAGAAATACAGCAATATGGCTGCAGGATATGACTATATCCTGAAAGCAAAGCTTTTTAAATTTTTTTTATTTTTTATTGTTTTGGGTATTGCTTGCTTATTTTTGCCTGCATTCCCTACTTAAGCAATTTGTGTTGATCTGTTTGTTACCAAAAAGGACCAAGGACTGTGTGGAATTAACTGGGAGGAAGGAAGGAGCCCTAATGATGTGGTCTGAGGCCCAGCGTGGGCACACGGAGCCAGATGCATGAACAGCTGAGGGCTGGTGTTCAAAAGTGACTTATGACAAGCTGCCATCCCCGTGCCCTCCTGCGTTCCCGTGGACATGTGCCCTGCAGAGTCGCAGAGTGGCTGTGGCTTCGGATAGACCTTGAGCATATGACGGGCTTACAACCGTGGCAGGTCCCTCTCTGCGCCTACTTCTGCTTCTTGGATCAGGGTGCTGATAGATCCCACTTTAATTGTGAGGATTAAGCGAGATAATTAGTGGTGTTTCTTAGCCCAGTTCCTGGCAGAATAGGCACTCAAAAAAATCGTCTCTCCAAGTATTGACGTGAACAGATTTTACATAAAGACTCTAAATTTACAACTGAACGTCAATCTGGGATTCAGAATTGGTTGGTTAGGAGATTTATTTTTCCTTTATGAAAGGGTACCCTGTATAATTCCTGCAGAGAATGGGGATAAAAACCTCCCTGTTAGCGCGTTCAAAAATATTTGATTTGCAAAAATTCAACGTACCTTAAAGTTGGTAGTGTATTATTAATAATAATCTCTATTATAATAAACTATATTATATAATGCATTAAACTTTTAGGGTTTTTTTTTTCCCTTCCCAGCATCTCAACTGCTCCTTTATAATAGGCCTGGAACTAGGGCTGACACTGTGGCCCTCATGTTCCTGGCAAAGACGTGAGACCTCCCAATGTCAAAGAGTAGGTCCCCATCTTCCCAGTGAGTGATGTCTTGTGACCGGTGATGGCGTTGTGGCCAACTGAAAACCTTCCTGTTGCTTTTGGAAAAAAAAAAAAAGTATCGAAGAGACAAAAATGGGCATCTAGTTCCTCGAACTTTTCTGAGAGCAGGAAATGGAGGAAGAACCTGCTAATTGAGCAAATCCAGACCTTTCCTTTAATATCATCACAGAATAGACAGTTGGCGTCTCATTCCTTTTGGAGATATGGCACACCTTATGAACAGATGCAGCCTTCATTAGTGGCAAAGATTTAAAGGAGGGTAGGAAAGCCAAGAGAGAAAGGTCCTTGTTATTGTTAATGATGTATTGTTTAGGGCTACCTTGGGATTCGTATGAATAACTTCCTGTGGGAGTTAGAATCTTGGAGTGTTAGAAGAGAAGGATCTTGGAGATCAACTTCTAAATCACAATGACCAAGAAAATGGTATGTTTAAGTGTGAGTTCATCTCCTTTATATTTTTATTGCTAAGGGCGGGTGTGACTGAGCTGCCTGGGAGGGCTGGGGCTATCACCACGGCCACTGCACATCGAATTGAATTGACACATTTCTAGTCCCAAGCCTGTGATGGTTTATTCGGTGCCATCATATTATGGATGAATATGTGGTTGGTCTAGGGCCTTTTGGAATACTGAAAATAGGTGTCCCCAATTCCCCTTTTGGGGACATCCGCAGCTGGCTCCAGTCCACCCAGCTTATTTGCAGACCTAAAGAGCTTAAGTCACTTGCCCATGGCCAGAGGTACAAGGACTTTGTAAGGTAACGCAGTGTCTGCAGTGCAGATACGGTGCCGGGAAAAGCACTGTGCTGACCGGTGACCATTGCTTGGTGTTGTTTTCTTTATGGAAAACACGGTGATGTAGCTGGAATGTGCACTGGTCCGAGGCAGGCAGTGAACTAGCGACAAAACTGCGCTGTTTGCTAAGAGTGTCTCTGTGTTGACTCACATGCCCACAGTCATAAGCAGCTATCTTCAAAAATTAGTCACAGTCTGGTGGATATAAACACAGAACAATTAACACCTGTGATTATCCTACGCTGTAATTACCGATGTCAGAGACCCCCGTAAAAGCTCATTAATCGAGACTCCCATTAATCGGGAGTGCCAAGTGACCGTCGAGGCGGGCAGCCCAAAGTTTGTTGGAGCCAGTGCGTATGAAGCAGTTTGCTGAGCAAACTCATGGTATCAGCGTGACACAGACGTATTGTTTGATCTACTTGCAAGAACAAACACTTAGCTTTAATATCGGCATGTGCAGTTAAATGTTTATTACAAGTCATTTTTTATCAAGGCCAACGAGGCTGCTTAGCAATAACTTACCAGCCCTTTAAAGTTGTTTATGGATTTCGAAGTATTTAAATTGCACTTCTCTATGATTGTTTGGAAGTCAGCATGGGAGGGCAGATGGTAGTGTCTGACTTATTTGTACCAGTGCTGCCGGCCAGGGTACCTGGTGCCGAGGAGACACCTGGGACTTCTTGGTCACCCGTAATTGAATGTGTGCGTCAATCAGGTGGCCCTGGGATTAGGAATTAACCAGTTGGGAAAAAGCAACTCATTGTGTTTCTCACTGGAGTCCCCTTGGCACTTTGGCCAAGATGATTCTTCCTTGCAAAGGTCTGTGCTGTGCACCCAGGGACATTCATCTCCCTCGACTCCCACCCCAGGTGACAGACCACCCGTTTCCAGATCCCTCCCCAAACCTCCAAAACCATTTCATCCCTAGTTTGAAACCATCAGTCCTCACCAAACACCAAATGGAATTCCAGATGTTAGAAAGTTGAATGTAAAAAGTGAGCTAATAAAGGAGGTAGAAGAAAGTCCAAGTTAATATCTGGCAGACAATTTTTTGAAAGAAATTAAGCTGTTGGAGTCTCTGCAAAATCACGCTTCTAATGCCACTGGGTCCCTCCGTGGCTGCATAATACGTCTGTGTCCCTGGTTGTCCTTACATGCCTCGTGGGCTATTCCAGCTCTCTCCCGTGTTGCTTGGTCCCTTCTTTTTCAGCCTCTTCAAGGAGGAGATTGAGGCCAGCTAAGGTCACTTGTCACCAATTCACTTCTCCACCTGCAGACGTGCCCCTTTTATTCTACAGAAGGATCTGTCTGCTGGGGACACCCCCTCCCCCTCGTCCACTTCCAAGGGTCCCTCTCCTTCAGTCCATCCTTGAGTTTCCATTTTGTCTTTCTCTTCTCCCTCTGTCTGCGCTGCCCATAAACGTCTTCCACTGTCCCCAAATTCTAAATGCGTCTCTAACATCCACAGTCCTGTGCCACCACCCTCCAGCCTCTCGCTTTTGTGTACGCTCCAAACCTCTCTGTCACTTCTTTTAGCCCTGGGGAAAGAGCCTGGGTCCTGGCTGGGCAGCCCGGGGTACAGCCAGCCTCTTGGACCTCCCCGAGCCAGGTGAGGGACGTGGGCAGATGCACCTGCCAGCGCAGGAAGAGCCAACCCGAGGGACGGGTCTCAGATGCACCTGGGCTCCAGCTTCAACCCCTCAGAAGCTCCCACTGCCAGGGAAGGAAGAATCACGCCAGGCCCTGCCTCCCGCCACTTCTCTGTCCTCGCCCTCCCTCCCTCTAGTGGTAATCTCAGTCGCCCTGGAGTGTCTGGCAGCCGTCCCAGCCGTCCTGTCCGTCCTCTTCCCTGTCTGCTCCGCTGTTCCACCGCTTTGTGTTTTCCGACTCCGGCTCTCTGCCCTCCGGCTCCCCACTGTCACCATTTCAAGGTAACCCCTTCTTCTGGAAGATTCCCTGAGACCCTGAGGGCAGGGAGGGAGTATCCAGCTCCTGCTGCACAGGCTGTGTCCCAGGGTCGGAGGAAGAGCTGGTTGATTGACTATTAAATCTGGGAGGAGATCGGAGTCCCCGTTTCTAGCTGTTGTTAGAGTTGACCGATAGCATCCACGTACGTGGTTTTTTTCTTGAGCATTTTACAGTGATTCCTGCTCCAGGTACTTCCCCTCCAAAAAAATAAAACTTCTGGGGAAAATAGAAACAAAATTCCTCCACGGGGACATGGTTTGCCAACTCGTTAGTTTCCAAATGCTGTGATTGAGACCCCACAGCCAGGATGCCAGGTACGCGGGTGGCACTGTCCACGTCATTTGCTCGTGAAAATACTGGAACCAAGGATGGGTACGTCCGCAGACCTTTTCCCTGAAAATTATTCCTGTGCAGTGCAGTGGTGGGGGGAGGGGGGGATGGGAAAAGGAGGTTCAGGTGGGGAAGGTTTTCTAGAGCCCGGAAACATGGGTGGCCTCATTTTTCTTCTGGGCTGCTGCAGGTGGCTCATGGTCCAGTGATAGCATCTTTTTCAAGTGACATAGGTCTCTTTTTCCTCTTTTATCATTTTTGTCTCTTTCTTACCTTATTGACTTCATTTACTCATTCTAGAAATGTTTTTTTTTTAAAGTAGTTTTATGAGCGAGCTATAAATTCACACATCATACGCTTCACCCATTTAAAGAGTCCTAGTCAATGATTCTGGGTATATTATTAATTCTCTTTAAATTGTGCTAAAAATATGTGTAACGTAAAGTTTGTCATTTTAGCCATTTTGAAGTGTGCGGTTCAGTGGCATTAAGTCCGTTCCCAAGGTTGAGTAACGATCGCCACTATTTCCAAAACTTTTTCATTGTCCCAAACAGAAACTCTGTACCCATTAAGCAATAAACTCACTAGTTGCTCCTCTCCCCCAGTCCCTGGCGACCTCTAATCTACTTTCTGTCTCTGTGAGTTGGCTGTTCTCGGTACCTCTTAAGTGGAATCGTACAGTATTTGCTCTTTCGTCACTGGCCTTTTTCGCTGCTGACATAAATGTCTTCCAGGTTTATCCATGTTAGTAGCATGGGTCAAAACTTCTTTCCTTCTTATGGTTGAATAATCTTTCGTTGTGTGGATATCACACATTTCGTTGATCCTTATCGAAATGTTGATAATACTGTATACTTTTTATGTTCTTAAGAGTTTCATTCTCATCAGATTAACTTGCCTGCCACATTGCTGGCAAATATTTCTCGATTTTTGTATTGGATTTATTAACAATTTTGAACAAGATGATGGTGGTTACAAGCCAAAAGTGCCATTTCCTGTTGTGTGTGTTTGTAACTGTGTAACTGTGTGTATTTTCTTGAGTGTGTTTATTTCCATGTGTCTTATGAATGAGGTCATCCGGCTTGTGAGCACGTCTGAAGATGATACGGGCACAGGGGTGGAATTGCAGGGACTTGGGGAGCGGTTCATCCTACCCCTGGCCCCAAAACTGTTTAAAGGAAAAAGCCAGTCTCATTGTCGCTGAATAATGTCTTGGCGTCTGCTCAACACAGACTTGTATCTGTCTCCGTGTGATAAATGTGTCTCACAGAGCTGAAGCAATGCACAGGGCTCTCCCCTGGGGAAAGTGAATTGATAAATTTGTTTTTGTTGTTTATTTCACAAATCAAAAGAGGACACATCCAGGATGATAAGGCAGGAGGACATAGATACGATGTGTTTGACAGTAGATACTAGTTCTCTCTTAGCCAGAGTGACACACAGTTAATGTCGAGACCAAAGGCAGAGCATTCTAGACCTTAGGTGCAGCCTGGACTTTGTGGGCTCCAGTTTTATCTTGAAAGATTATTCTCCACCCCGCGCTCTTTTATTGATTATTTTTAGCCAGTCTCTGCAGAATTTTGCCAGCACCCTTGCTCCTCTTGAATTTATACTAATTGCCAAAGGCGGCAGTGTGTGTAATGATTTGTCGTGGTGACCCCTGCGAGCCAGTGACAGTTCTAGAATGTGCATGGTGAGCCTGCACCCTTCCTGTCTTCCTAGATTCTCTTTTCACACTGAAATACATGCTCAAAAATCCATCGTGTTCCATTCATTTACGAGGCATCTAGCCCACTCCGAGGGCTCCTCTGACATTATCTCAACAAACGTCGTCTCCTGGAGTGTTTGGGCCGGTCTGGTCCCCCAGCCATCATTCCTGGGACGCGATGAGCTCACCGAGCCTGCACGCCTTATATGCTAATTCCACGGGCACATCTGAGCCTTGGCGCAGTGACAAGAGCCCAAGCTCAGAAGTTTCTGGCTTTCGTTAACAGAGAACGTAAACTTTACCTTGGAGTTTCAGACTGTGCTTACATGATGTGAATTCACGTCTGTGTGGTCTCCCAGAAGCGGCTCCGCCACCACCGTGCGAGTTCCCGCGGCCAAGGCCATCGGCCTGTGGTTTAGGGACGGCCAGGGCAGAGGTGGGAGACGGCGGGAGTGTCAGGTGCCACCGCGCTCACCCTTCATTCACCCTGTGCGAATGAAAAAAAAAATAAAGAGCGCCCCAGGTTTTTCAGTAGAAACGCATTCTAAATGATTTTAATTGAGAGTGATCTTCTACCCGGTTCTTATTCCCATGTTTGTTGAGAATGGTTACAAAGCAAGGAAGCACACACACACAAAATAATGACTCCAAAACAAAGGCTGGAACCTCTACTGATGTCTTTGGATAGTCTTGCGAGAGGTTTGAGTCTATCAGAGTGGGCAGCTGTTGCCGGTGATGCTTGGTGACGCTTGGTGACACTTGGTCTGAGAGTTCAAAGTGGGGGACTGAAGACCAGGGCTCTCATGACACAGGTGTGTTCCTTTGCCACCTGTTCACAGCAAAGGGGGCTTTTCTGTCATCACAGTCCTGCCCTCCTGGTGTTCCCTGGGACCCCACCTGCTGTGTGAGTTGGTGGCATGAGTGGCTCTGGACAGGGTCAGCAGAGGGGAAGGTGGCAGCTGTCTCCCTCCCCCCCACCCCCCAGCCATCCAGGATGCTGGTCGCTCCCCGATGTAGCCGCTAGAGACAGAAAAGTGGAACGCACGTCTATTAAAAATGAAACCAGTGGTAAGATGTAGCAGATGCCTGGGGCGAGGCCTTGGTAAAGTGGGGGTGTCTGGCACCGAATGTTCCAGCACCCCCCCACTCCCCGCAAAGATGAATCACTTGCTCATCTGCTTTTGGCCCTCCTGGGTCTGTCCTGTCCCTGGAAGGAGTTCACCGACATCTTCCGACCGCCCTTTCCTGCTTGGCTCGTGGTGGGGCCCGAGATCCGCCCTGGGCTGTGTTCACGAGGGCAGGTTCTGTGGGAGCCCGAGTGTGGGTCTGAGCAAAGTGGGGTGTGAAATGCAAGCCAGGCCACTTTCCCTTCCCTGGGGGGTGTGAGGATTGCAAGATGATGGCGACGGTGAGCCCCCCGGCATGGAAGGACACAGAAATGAGTGTTTGAAGGAGAAGTTGCTGGTCATTTGCTGGTGTTGATGGATGTCAGATCTCTGGATTTGGGCTAGTTCTGATTCCAAACATCCTGTCCTGTTCCGTCTTCATACCGTATGTTTCAGACCAGAGTTTTGCCATGGTTTGTTTGGGGAAAAAATGCATTAGCTGTATTTTCACAGTTTGGAAATGAGGCGCATGGACCTACCAGCATTGGGTCAGGTTCTCCGGGCTTTATTCAGAGTTCTGAGGCCCACTTGCTTTGTGCCAGTGAGTTTTCAGACTTTAGCCTGCATGAGAATCACCCCAAGGGCTTGTTGAAACATCAGTTGCTAAGCCTCAGTCCCAGAGTTGCTGGGGCGTGAGGATTTGCATTTCTAGCAAATTCCCAGGTGATGCTGTGGCTACTGGTCCGCGGCCCACACTTTGAGAACCACTACTTCGAATTGCTGTCTCATGGTGCTGGGTCATGACGAAGATTTCACTGGTGTGCAGTAAAATGAGAAAAATAATGTACCTGGGTTTTCAGAAATCCAAATGTACTGAATGGAAATGTACCGAATGGTACATTTCAGAAATCCATATGTACTGATTATCCATGTTTTCCCCCTTGAAATTAGGTCTTCCCTATTTTCTGATGGTAAGATATCTTTTCTTTCATGAAATGATGGCCACAACATGGTAGTTTGGAGGTACTGACCTTACTTGAAAAATTAAAGAGTTAACAACTCTAATCCAGTTCCCCAATGTGGGGGGATATTTTACAGCTCTCTGAAATTCAGAAGTCCAAGAACCATAATCTAATAAATGTGCAGTTTAGTTCTTTAGTTTATAAATTTTCTCTCTTGAAAGAGGAGGTTGGGGGGGAGTGGAAGTGGTGAAACAGGAGACAGATGTTTATTCGTTTCACTAAATCTTTGCTGTTTTATTTTCTGATGACAATGGCAGTAAACTTTCTGTTTTGCAAAAACCCCTTGTCTCACAGTGAACTCAGAGCACAAAGAAGACAGCCACTTGTGCACGTTATTAGGTATGTTGGCTGTAGCATGTTTTATCTTCGAAATTATCTTTTTCCTCTTATGGTTTTAGGGAGAAATAGCTGGAGAGAGTAGCTGGCCGTGAGGATGCCGGCTTGAGTTTCTGATCTGCCGAGTTGTCTGTTATGTCTGATTATCTCATACCAGGGGTCCTCAAACTTTTTAAACAGAGGGCCAGTTCACTGTCCCTCAGACCGTTGGAGAGTGCACACTGTGGGCCCGGGATGAGTTGGCTGCTAAGCAGGACAAGCAGCGGCAGCAAAAACACCCGGAGGGGCGGATAAATGTGCTAGGTGGCCCGCATATGGCCCGTGGGCCGTGGTTTGAGGATGCCTGTCTCATACTGAGTGGGAGATGTGTGATTTGTACAAACATTTCGCATTTTTCAAACTTTTTACAGTTTTCTCAAGCCTCGCTGATTGAATAAACCTAACACTAATGCCCACTGTTG